CAGGTTTTTAAATTCTCAATTTTTTATTTATCTTGTATCTCAAACATTGAGATTATATGTTTACTTTTTGCACCTGCATTATCACTTTAAGCAAGCTATCTATCTTATTTCTGTATTTTTTATTATCCCTATTCCCCTTTTAAATTAACAATTTTTAATAATCTTGTAGAAAGAATAAAGTAATGTTGAAATGTGGTGAATAACACCTAGGTTAATTAACCTTATGTTACAAGGAGAAGCTATACATTTATAGTTTTTTTACTCTGAAGCACATACAAATTTAAGGTGACTTAAAATTTGTTAGGGTTTTGGTTAATCTTTTAATGGATGAATGAAAAGACTAGAAATCTAACATTTGTCCAAATGGAGATTTGTTTTTTGAGTTTAACAGAATTATTTTCTGAGTTAGTGTTATCCAGTTATGGAAAGGTATGTCTGGTGATATGACAGGTACTGCTACATTAATTTATAATCAAAATTATTTAAACTTCTGTTAGTGTTAGATAAAAACATTGGTTTGATATTTAGTTGCTTGTTCTACCAAGTGATGGAGTGATCTCAGTGAGCATAGTGGCCTTCTGTCATCTTGCTTTTTATGTACTTTTCTCATTCTTATCAACAGATATTAAAAATTATGGAACACTTATATCAAATTCTCTATTTAATGTTTGTAACATAGTTATTATATTATACCACTACAAGTTACAACTCAATTTTATTTTTAGTTAAGTGATTGTACACTTTTTAATACTTAAAATATAATATACAAATTAATTCTGTGTAACACCTAAACCATTCTATTAACATGTGAATGAAACCTAATCATGTCTGTATTTACAAGTAAAGCCACAAAAAATATTTCACAATAACAGTACAAAATTTTCAATTTTGATTGCTTGTGTTTCATTGCCTTGATGAAACCCATTCAATGGATGTTGAGAATATTTCAAACTTAAGGAAAATAATAATATTAAGATATTCAAAAATTAAATTAAATTACAAAAAGTTTCAAAAATAGGCCAGAATAACTTATAAAACTAAATTTAATTATACTTAATTTGTGCATAGGTTCACAGAATATGGATTCGTTCTTTTGTACAATTTTTGAAACGTAATTTTTCAATTTGTAAAATTTTTTGAATAATAGCAACTGATATGCATAAACGCATGAGAAGTAGACCACAATAGTACTCATTAGTAGTAGTAGTAAAACTTAGCACAAATATTGAAAATGTTGTTTTTGTGCTTTCAAGTGAAACGTTAAAGAAAAAGTAAACAATATACTTAAAAGTAAAACAGAAAAAGTCCACCTGTTTTCATTAATGAAATAACTGTTACACTTTGTTAATTGCAATAAAATATTATTTTAAAAGTTATTTTTAGTTTATTTGTAAAAGACTCAAGTCTTAAATTTTAAATATTAACGACTTAAGCTTAAGTTAACTATATACTGTTGCGGTATGCAAACTATAAAGTTTAATAAAATATATTAATAAGAAGAAAAATAAGAAGAGTGAAAATTTACAATGAATATGACTGTTTTGTTTTTGTTGTTGATAAGAGCAAAGCTATGCTTTTCTCACGACGAGTATCGAAAATCAATATCAGTCTAACCGCTGTGCCACCGAGGGTCAAGAACTTCAAGAAGCGTATAAGGAACAAACATAATGAAATAAATATCCGAGATAACACATACGATTATTTCACTATATGAACAACTCTTCTTTTCTTTACTTAAAATCTCAGTTATATTCTTACCCATATTCATTGAAAGAAACAAGTCTCAACTTCAAATATGCTGTTGGAAACAAATCTTGTGCTCAATTAAATGAATCTGCAACCTCTGCCCATCCGACGTAACTCCAAACTTGAACTGGCTAGCAACAAGATATATTACTAATATATATACGTATGCGTACATGTTATTATGTAGACGTCTGTGAGTGGATGATTCAGTAATTGAATCCGATCCTTGAATATATGCATTATTATATATCGTTTTATTTATTATTATTAATGAGAAATGTCATGTATAATGTACTTATAAAAGTTTTTGTTTTTTTATCTCTAATATCTGGGTTAGCGGAGATGTTATTTTGCTTGCTGTTACTCACATACATATTGTTACGTCTCCGTTCGTTAGTTAATTTTCCGTATAATTTCTTTTCAATGAAACTTTAGCGACACAAGTCCTTTCTTAAGTAAAACTGGTTTATTCTTTCTGAATACAATTTTGCAATACACTTAATTTCCACAGTCGCGCTATAACAAACGCTATAATTCACAACGAACCTCTCACTTGTTCGACTCAACTGTCAATTACGCATTAAATTACCTCCTTGCCGTCACTTCTTGGCGGCTTATATATATATATATATACAAGACTACCGCATGTCTAGTTAAAGCTCGAGACTTCACGAACCTTCGAGAATATGACTTGTTACTAGCGTCACGTGACCCCCGCTGTCGTAACACT